ATCTTTTCAAAGAACCAGCTCATTGTTTCACTAATTTTCTCTATTGTTTTTCTGTTTTTGATTTCAGTAATTTCTGCTTTTACCTTTATTATTTCCTTTCTTCTACTTGCTTTGGATTTATTTTGTTCTTTTTCTATTCTAGTGGAAGCTTATGTTATTGGCTTGAGACTTTTCCTTTTTCTAATGTAAGAATTTCACATTATAAATTTCCTTCTCAATACTGAATGTGTCCACATATTTTGATATGTTGTTTTTCCATTTTCATTCAGTTCAATGTATGTTTTTTGTATTTCCCTTGAGACTTCCTCTTTAAACCATTGATTATTTAAAAGACTTTTTTTTAGTTTTAGTTTAGTTTTTTAAGTTTTTAAGTATTTGGTTTCCAATATTTGATTTTCCTGTTTTCTTTCTGTTGTTGACATCTATTTTATTTTATTTTATTTTATTTTTTAATTTAATTGAAGTACAGTCAGTTACAATGTGCCAATTTCTAGCGTGCAGCACAATGTCCCAGTTATGGGTATATATACATATATTTGTTTTCATATTTTATTTCATTAAAGGTTATTACAAGATACTGAATATGGTTCCCTGTGCTATACAGAAGAAACTTCTTTAAAAAAATCTATTTTTATATATAGTGGCTAACATTTGCTAATCTCAAACTCCCAAATGTATCCCTTCCCACCCGCTTTCCCCTGGTATCCATAAGATTGTTTACTATGTCTGCAACTCTTTCTGTTTTGTAGATGAGTTCATTAGTGTCCTTTTTTTCTTTCTTATTTAGATTTCACATATGAGTGATAAATGGTATTTTTCTTTTTCTTTCTGGCTTACTTCACTTAGAATGATGATCTCTAGGTCCATCCATGTTGCTGCAAATGGGATTATTTTATTCTTTTTTATGGCTGAGTAGTATTCTGTTATATAAATACATCACAATTTCTGTATCCAGTCATCTGTGGATGGACATTTAGGTTATTTCTATGTCTTGGCTATTGTAAATAGTGCTGCTGTGAACATTGGGGTGCATGTATCTTTTCAAATAGAGTTTCCTTTGGATATATGCCCAGGAGAAGAATTGCTGAATCATATGGTAAGTCTATTTTTAGTTTTTTGAGGAATCCCCGTACTATTTCCCGTAATGCCTGCACCAAAGATGTCTATTTTAATTCCAGTATAGTAAGAGGACACACTATGTATGATTTCAGTTCTTTTAAATTGGTTGAGGTTTAGTTCATGGTCCAAGTTATGATCTATCTTGGTCTATGTTCTATAGACACTTGAAAAGAACGTGTATTCTTCTGATGGGTGGAGTGTTCTATAAATATTGATTTGATCCTGTTGATTGATGGTGTTGTTGAGTTCTTCTAAATCTTTGCTGATTTCCAGTCAAGTTGTTCTATCTAGTCTTGGGAGATGGCCATTTAATTCTTCAGATATAATTGTGGCTTTATATATTTCCCTTTTCAGTTTTATCAGTTTTTGCTTCACCTATTTTGCAACTCTGTTGTTTGTTGTATACATATTTAGTATTTCCATGTATTCTAGATGACTTGACTTGACTCTTTTATAATTATGTCCCTCTCTGTGACAGGTAATTTCTTTTGCTCTGAAGTTTATTTGATAGTAATGTAGCCACTCTTGCTTTTTTTAAATTAATATTTATGTGGTATATCTTTTTGCATCCTTTTACTTTCAACCTTGCTACATTTTTATATTTGAATTGAATTTCTTATAGACAACATATAGTGGTCACACTACTAATCTCTGTCTTTTAATTGGTATATTTAATGTAACTATTTGTATGTTAGGGCTTAAGATGTTATTTTATTTTTTGTTTTCTGTTTGTTTTCTCTGGCTTTTATTTCTCTGTTTTCTTTTTCCTGTGTTCCTGTGGATTACTTGAACCTTTTTTAAAATTTCATTTTTATTTATCTATTTTTTTTTTAGTGTATCTCTTTGTATAGCTCTCGTAGTGGTTGGTATTGGTATTACACGTAACTTATCAAGTCTACTGGTATCAACGTTTTAATGATTTGAATGAAGTATAGAAATTTTACCTCCCTTTATATACTTTTAACCTCCTCAAATTTATACTATACTTATTTTAAATATTTTCACTACATATTTTGAGAATCATGTTAGACAGTGTTATAATTTTTGCTTTGACCATCAGACATATTTTAAAAATGCAAAAGAAGGAAAGTCCATTGTATTTACCCATCTATTTGCTCATTCTATTGTTCTTTCTTCTTTCTTGATGGTTCAAGATTCCTTCTTTAATCATTTATCTTCCGTTTAGAGAACTTCCTTTAGTCATTCTTTTAGGGTAGATTTTATGGTGACAAACTCTCTTAGTTTTCTTTTGTCTGAGAATTTCTTAATTTCCCCTCATTCCTAGAAGATATTTTCACTGGATGTAGAATTTGGGGTTGAGAGTTGTTTTCTTTCAGCACTTGAAACATGTTGTGCCACTTCTTCTAGCCTACTTCTTCTGATAAGAAATTCCCTGTCATTCACTTTGTTTTTTCCCTAAAGTAATATGTTGCTTCTCTCTGGCTGCCTTCAAGATTTCTCTCTCTCTCTCTCTCTCTCTTTCCTTCTTCCTTCCTTTCTTTCTTTCTTTCTTTCCTTCCTTCATTTCTTTCTCTTTTTTTTTCTTTCTTTCTTTCCTTTCTTCCTTCCTTCCTTCCTTCTCTCCTTCCTTCCTTTCTTTCTTTCTTGTCTTTTATTTTCAGAACTTTAACTAAGGTGTGTCTTTTTTTTTTTTTTGTACTATAGTGTGTCTTGATGTGGATTTCGTAGGAGTATCCTGTTTAGGATTTACTCAGCTTCATGAATCTCTAGGTTTATGCCTTTTTCCAAATTTGGGAAATTTTCAGCCATTATTTCGTCAAATACTTTTTCAGCCCTACTCTTTTTCTCCTCTTCTTTGCAGACTCCAATGACATGAATATTAGGTATTTTGCTGTAAGCCCACATGTGCCTGCGGTTTTGTTCATTTTTTTCCCCAGTATTTTCTCTCTGTTGTCCAGATTGGGTAAGAAGTCTTTCCTTTGTCCTCTCCATTCTTATGCTGAGCCCATTCACTTATTTTTAAACTTTTTCAGTTCTAAAATTGCAACCTGATTCCTTTGTTTTTTAATCTATTTATTTCTCGTTTGTTTCAAATACGTTCCCAGTTGCTTAGTTAACCATCTTTATGGTGGCTGCGTTAAAGTCCTTGCCACATCATTACAACATTTGTATCATCTAGATGCCAGGATCTGCTGTCTTTTCATAGTCACATTGAGATCTTCCTGATTCTTAGAATGACAAATGATTTTTGATCGAAACCTAAACATTTTGGATATGATATTATCAGACTTTGGATATAATTGACAGCTTGTATTTGTTCAGGCTCCCCCTAACACCACTCCAGGAAAGGAGGGAGGATGCTGCCAGATGAGGGTGGAAGTCCAGGTTCTGCAGTAGACCCCCTGGGGGTGAGGGGCTCCTGTTATTGCTAGACATGTGTCGAATTTCAGGCTCCCCACTAAGCCTCCATTGATACTACCCTGGCTGGGTTGAGGAAATGTACTTTGTTACTGCTCTCCACATGGTTTCCACTGACATCGACTAGGGGCGGGATGAGGGTGGTCCTATTACTGCTGAGTGGTGGTGAAGTCCTAGCTTTCCACTAGGCCTCCTCTGACTACCCTGGTGAGGATGGAGAGATGCACCTTGACAGAGCTTAAGGGTACAAGTCTAGGCTCTCTACCTCATCTTTAGTGGTGGGCTTGAGTGTGAGGCCACAATTTTTTCTGTGGTGTTTTGCTAGACTAGAGTGATGATTATCTGAACGTCTTCAGTCTTGTTACTGATCCTTTCCTGTTTTCACAGCTAGAGAAAGCAGGGGTTTCTTAGGGCACTTTTTAAAATTAGTCTACACCCCATTGGTATTTCTAGGTTGCTGACTTCTCCAGTTCCCAGTCTGAGGCATAGAAAGCAGAAAGAATACTCAGGGAATGCATGGCCATGTTTTCCCTTGGGTTCCAAGATCCTTAGCTGGTCTGCTTTCTTGCCACCTTTCAGATTCTTCTTACGTTTGTTACATATACAATATTGAAAGTTTTCAGCAACACTTATCAGGAAGAACAGGAAAAAACGTGACTACTCTATCTTTCTTGAAGTAGATTTACATTTTAAAATTAAACTTTGATGCTATTTCAAAAGAGAAAAGACATCTCATCAGTAGTTCTGAATGTCTTGCCACTTTTTCATAAGTTCTTGGAGATGGTATGCTTCTTGGGTTTTGGTTATTTTTTATTTTTTATAGTAACAAGCATGTAGAATTGGGGTAGGGATTTTTTCTTTCTCAGGCTATAAAATATATCTGATTAGGATATATACATATTTACTGGTGGGCTTGGATACCTGTGTGTGTATATATATGTATCATTTAATACACTTTTTAGGATTGAAATTCTCTCAGCAGTAACGCAAATACTTTACAATAACATGTAAACAAAACCCCAGGAGCTGGTGCCGTCCTTACTAATTGTTAGTTCTTTACTCACTAATTGATGGAAGTAGTGGGAGTATCTTTAACATCTCAGTGCCTTACGCATTTCATTCAAAAGAAACCATCTTAAATGTAATCTAAGTAATCCTCAAGACTAGAACACATGCTGGTGGATTGAAACTACAGTTACGTTTGGCACATGACTAATTTTATGCTGTAGTGATTCATGCTCAAGATTGTTCTCAGCCTTTGGAGAAGATCAAGAAACTAGTTTCTCAGGACCAACAAAAAAGTATTTGGTAAAAAGCAAAAAAAACCCTTAAATAATCCTGAAAAAAAATTTTTATACTTGCTGTTACCTCTCATGCTGATGAGTTTGTCGAAATTAAAGTTGAGAATATTAGAGATGTTCTGCAAATGTGACTTATGGAAAGTGATTGCTAAATGAGTAAATCAGACAACAAAAGATAACTGTCTTCTAATTACTTTTTAGCGTTTATGAGGCCAGTACAAACAGCCCAAGAGGAAGATGCCTGCAGTTGCCGATTTCCAGAAGAAGAAGAAGGAGAATGTGAACTATGAAGTGGAAACCCAAGGAGGGGTTGGGACTCTCCTGAGAAAAGTCACAGGAGAAATACAAGGGCTCCCACTATCATATCTTTCTAAATTCAAAAAAGTCATCACAGATAATACCCGAGATTACCTCAACAGGTTTCTTCTAACTGCTCATGAGTTGGCCTTTAAAAATGGACCACTTTTAACAGAACAGAAGAATGGGACAGAACTGGTGGTAAAAGGTGCATTTTCTGGATACTGCTTAAGAGGTTTGCACTAGTTTTTTGAAATCCAAAGAAAAATTTATTTTAAATTTAATCACGCAGGCCAATGATGCAGCTAAAATTACAGTCAAAGCCAATTCTATTTTTGGGGGGGTGCTAATATGATATAGGACAGTGAGCCATAGATGCAGGGAATATCCCCAACCGAATTTTCCATGGGTTCAGTCATTCAGCACAATGACACCCTCACACTGTCAGGGGACAATGAGGACAGTTATCATCATTGTCCAGGTTTGGGGTCAAGAGCAAAAAACAAAAAAAAAAAAACAAAAACAAAACAAAACAAATGAACAAAAATCTCAGACCTTGAAGAAGAGTTTTGGGAAAAAAAGAGTCACATGTCCCCCATATTCTGTGGTCCTCTCCACTCCCACATCTTTTGCCTTTGTCCTCCTCCCCTCCGAGCCAGGGCATGCTTTTTTATTCTTAAAAACTTTAACAATAACATCTGATACACATAAATTAATAAGTGAAACAGGAATGAAGATCCACAAACTCAGAGCCTAACCGGAGCACTTAGAGCAGGAGTCGCCAAACTCCCACGGGTCAAGTCTGAGCTGCCTTTGTGTGGCTGATGAGCTCAGAATGGTTTTTACGCATTTTAAATAGTTAAAAATAAATCGAAATAAGAATAGTATCTCATGACACGAAAAATTCTATGAAACTCAAATTTTAGCGTCTATAAATAGTTTTTTTGGAGCACACAGCCACCCTCAGGCCGGCCTTGGCATTACAACGGTAGAGTTGAGCATCTGGGACAGACTATGTGGCCCACAAAGTCTAGAATATTTAGTAACTGACCCTTTACGGAGTCAAAGTCAGGGTCAGAGCAGCCGTCTGTGCACTGCTTCCCTCCCACATCTCCTGCCTATCTCCCCACCCCAAGCCCAGACAATGATTCTCAGGAATGTTGAGTCTATCAGTCCCTTGCTTTAAAAAAAAAAAATCATTTATCCTATAGATATGTATGCCACAAAAAACTATTTTATTAGTTTTGTTTGTTTCTGAGATTTATGAAAACGGTTCTGTGCCTGTGGAGACTTACTGTGCTTTAATCGCTCAAAAGTATATTTATAAGACTCATTTATGTTATTGTGTGTAGCTAGAATGCATTCATTTTGACTGCTGTATAGTTTTACAAATATACTATTTTTTTTATTAAAGTATAGTTGATTTACAATGTTGTGTTAGTTTCCGGTGCACAACATAGTGATTCAGCTCTCCATGTGTATGTATACATTCTTTCTCAAATTCTTTTTCATTATAGGTTATTACAAGATATTGAATACAGTGCCCTGTGCTCTGCAGTAGGACCTTGCTTATCTATTTCAAAACATGCCATCACTTATCAGTCCATTCGGAAGCAGAGGACATTTCAGTTGCTTCCAAGTGCTTTGCAATTATGGGCAATGTTGCTATGAATGTTCTTTTTTTCATATGTTTCTCATTTAAGAGTGTTTCTAAGGAAACTTCTTTAGAGTGAAACTTCTAGATCTTAGGGTATGTGAATGCTCAAATTTATGAGCTAGTCCCCGTATCAGTAAGGATATATTAAATTATGCGGAAAACAAATGACACCCCGCCTCACCCTGAATCTTAATGGATGACAACAAAACAACAGAGGTGCATTTCTGGCTGTCACTGCGTGCCCACTGCAGGCTGGCTGTGGCTCTGCCCTGTGTTACTCCACACTGGGATTTGGGCGAAGGGAGCAGCTCCTACTTGGTCATCTTGTTGCAAAGGACTACATACAGGTCACTTTGCTTGTAGTTGGTTAGATTCTAATTTTTGGAAAAAGTCACGTAGCCAAGCTGAGCATCCGTAAGGCAGACAGTCTAACTGTCACACAGGGAGGGGCCACAAATATCTCTGAACAATGAGAAGTCTACCACTGGGCTGAACTGTTTTTCAAAGTGGTTGTTCTATTTTATACGCCTGTCAGCTGTGTATAAGTGTCCCACGAAGTCCCATCCTTGCTATCGTTGGGTATTTTCACACTTAATTTTGCCAATCGAGTGGTTTTAAGATGGCATCTCGCCGTAATCTTACTTTTCATTTCTGTGATTACTAATGGGCATCTTGTCACGTTTTTGTACCATTTGTGTTTTTTTTTTGAGAAATGTTTGCTCATGCTTTTTGCTCATTTTTTAAAACTTGGTTGTCTTTTTCTTAGTGAGTCATAGTTATAGTCTTAGTCTATAAGTCATAGACTTATAGGGTCATTCTTTATATAGCCTAGATGATAATCTTTGGTTACGTGTATGTGTTATAAATGTCTGCTTTGTTTGCAGTTTGATTTTTCTCTTTTTAATTGTGCCTTTCTTTGTCTTTGTTGTAAGAGGAAAAGCTTTTAATGTAATTTGGTTAAATTTACAACTCTTTTCTTATATGGTTAACATTTTTTTGGTTTCCTAGTTAAAGAGATCTGTCCCTGCTCCAATATCATAAAGATAGTTCCTCACATTTTTTTCTAAAAGTTTTAAGTTTTGTCTTTTGTATTTAATTCTAGTCTACCAAGAGTATTTTTTGTGTATGTTGTAAGGTAATGATCCAATTCTAGGTTTTGAATATGGATCACCACTAATTTCAGTACCATTTATTCAATGGTCCATCTTTTCCCTACAGATCTTCAATACACTGCTGTCATTTACCAGATTTCCATATATCCATGGGTGGTTTCTGGGCTTTCTATCCTGTTCCATTGTTCAATTGTCTGTCCTTGTGCCAAGACACACTGTCTTTGTTACAGCCGCTTAATCATAGCTCTTGATATCTGATCGGACAATCTTTAATGTCCTTCAGTGAAGTTTCTCCAGACATTGTACATCTTTTGTTAGATTTATTTCCACGTGTGTTGTTTTGCTCCTTAAATGGTTTTCTTCATTGTTGGAGTACAGAAATGTAGTTGATTTGCTTTTATTACTTTATAGCCCACCTTTCCCCTAAACTTTCCTATTATTTCTAATAGTATGTATGTAGATTCTTTTGGATTTTCCATACAGACAACCACGTTATTTGTGATAATAATGGTGTTTTTTTTTTTTCATTTCTAGTCCTTTGTCTTTTATCTCTTTTTCTTGGTGTACTGCTTGACTTATTGCCAAGACCTCCAGGACAATGTGATAGTCTGTTTTTAATCTTATTTATAGAGGATTCTTTCGGGGTTATTTTTGTGAATATACTTGCTCAAGTTAAGGAAGTTACCTTCTTTCCCTGGTTTGTGAAGACAGCTAGTCTTCATTTTGTCATCATGAAAAGGTGTTGAATTATATCAAGTGACCTTTTTCTGAAAGAAAAACAAAGCATTTGATTGCAGACGACTCAGCCGACGGTTCTATCACATTGATTTGGATTTAAACTTCAGCCACATTCCAAGTAAATTACTCCCTGAAAGAAATTTAATGCAATCACAGGTATAATAGTAGGTATTCCTCCCCCTGCCCTTAAAGGATGCTTTGGTGTATAACAATACGATGTTCAGAAAACATTTGTTGTTCTAATTTAAATAGATGAAGTACTTTCATTTGGCTCTTTACTATTTTGATCAGAGTTTATTATTTACAGGAAAAGATGAAGATAATATTTATGGAGGATTTTTTTTTTTAAACTTTCTAAGAAATCTCACCAAATGCATGAAAACACTCGTGTTGGGAGTAAGAATGGGCATGATTACTCTTCCAGATCAGGAACACCTGAGAACTGATTTGAGCACGCTGACCTGCTCTGAGTGGCTCATGCATGGTCTCTGGGCGCAGCCGGCTAAGAGCCTGACGAGGAGGCTTTAGGCAAGAATCCTGTTAAGCCGGTATGCTGGCAAGACTAAGAGAAGAATCAGGGGTGGTGCCGTCCGTTTAAAATAGGAAGCCCAGCAGAGCTGAGGAAGTTTACCAGTCAGTGCTGCTTCAGAACAGAGCCCCGTGCAACTTCTTTCCCTCTTCCGAATCACAACCCTGAATTCCAAAATGGCTTTCACTCTTGACTTTGGCCACTGGTGTTTAATTCTCTGTTGTCCATTACTCACAAACACAAAGGGACCGGTCATACTCCGCAGGCTTGGGCCACCCAAGATAACTCAACTGAGCTCACTTGTCCCAGGTGATAAACACAGAAAATCCACAGGTTAGCCTGCTTATCTGACACAGGCTGTTTCTTACACAGACTGTACCGTACTTTTATTGTTGTATATTTTGGTATGATGTGTCAACGTTATAAATGAAAAACACAGGAACTTGGGGTATGAGTCATCTTTCCCCCTAGATGGCAGTTAACGAAGAATGAAAATCAAGACAAAATTAAATGATCCCCTTTGGGGATGAATTTAGGGACTCCAAGAATTAAGTTTAATCAAAATAAATGTAAATTTCTACGATCAAAATCAATGAACACATGCAGGGATGTGAAAACTGGAAACAGTTTTCTAAATGCTTCAAAGCAAGCTTCGGCTACTCCCCAAACAAAGTTTGACTTTCTTCTCTGGTGGAATATATCACTGATGGAAACTTTTGGTACGAGGGGCATACGGCCGCCACAGTGGGCATCTCCCTCCTCTGCAGAGCAGATGTTTCCACTGTGGGTGGGATGTGCCCACAGACTACAGCTTGCATGAGTTATGTGTGGTCTGTGTGTGGTGGGGTTAGCAGGGCGATCGTTACCTAGTTTTTAAAAGGAACGCTATAATAAAACGCACGTCTATCATTTTCACAGGGAAAAAAGAACAGTTAAGGAAAAAGATAGCTTATTTTTTTTAAGATCTGTGACTATAGCAATGTCAGATCATAAAGGCTAATAAGGAAATAACGTGCTATTCTTGGTAAACAACGAAACAGATTTTAGTGCCAAGACATGCGATTTAGAGCTTGGGATTTCTTTTGTTCCCAACTGACTTTTTAGTTACATATAAAAATGAATGCTATTGTTTATATCAAGATTGATTCAGATAGCTATATTTCAAATTAAGTCATTGAAGCCTTTCGAACAACGCATCTTTTACAAATTTCATTGAAGAGGCTGATTCTGACAAACCTATTGAAGGAGACTCTGAAATACAGTAACCTCTTCACTGGACTTCCAGTGCGTCGATCAGGACAAGGGACCACCTCTCATTTGAGGGTTTTGAGTCCAGAGGACCGGCAAGTGCAACCTGAGAAGAGACACAATGTTACCAGGACCTGCTGTGCGCCAGGAGCAGACGGTCAACTTGGAGGCAAGAGAGCTCGAGGCTGGTAAAGAGACAGCTGTGCATTATGGAGCCTGTGTGCTTGGTGGGGATGGTGGAAAAACACACACCAACAGGGGCGGAGGGAGGGCTCCCTGGGGATGGTGAGGACGAGTGGGATGAGTAGCTGATCTCTACTCAGACTGTGTGTTTTCCAGAAGGAGCAAGGGGCCCAGGCAAACGGGAGGAAGGGTTGGGGTCAGGGGATGAAGGGGAGATAAAGGGAACTGCAGGGTCACAGGGATCAGATAGCCAGATTTTATAAGCTAAGTTAAAAGGGTCAGATTTTTTAAAAAAATGCTTTGTCATTCATCATATTTTATTGATTGTAAAACTGACTTTTTACTTTTCACCTTAACATTTTGAGATTAGGAGATATCTTACAATTTATGAGATAATTGTAATTAGCAGAGTTTCCCCTGCCTCAGTGGTGCATAACACAATGGTGCATCTTAAAATTAATAAGATATGGTTCACATGTTCTGTTCATTTATATTGCCTGTTAGGTGCCTTGCTTTCTTATTCCTTGTATTGATTCTACCCAAGAAGCTCGGATTTTGAACAGTGGACATTGACTAGAGAGCCAGGTAAGGGATTTGATGTGATCTGCATTTTAGAAAGATCTCACTGACTCCAGTGAGAAAAATGGATTAAAGAGATTGAGGGCCCCTCCAGGAGGGAAACTGATTTGGGGATGGGGCCTGAGGCGCTGGTTCCTGGCTTAAGGCAGTTGGGAAGACAGAGGTACGGTCAAGCAGAGCCAAGAAACCCTGGAGGAAGAAGGGGTAGATCCAGTGTCAGTCTCCCCGAATGGAGGGGCCCCATGGTGCAGGGGAGGGGGACGGGGGGCCGTGGCATCCCAGAAGCCCAGGGCTAGGTCTCCAGAATCCAACAGATGAGAGTAAAGTGAGAATCATCCAAGGCCACCAAGATGCCAGCAGAAGTGACAATAAAACATACACCAGGTTTAGCAACAAGACATTGACCTTAATGGAG